AAGATATTCTTTGCGGGAACCCTGCGAACCCATCCTTTACTGTCCCCATGACAGAGGACTCTCGCTCTAGCTGGCACAGGGTTGGGGTCGTCATTTGCATTCTCAGGCCTCAGGTGCCATATTCATACCCCGCCCCCCAGCTAAGAAGCAGCACTGTCACCTCACGGTACAAAGGGACCCATGAGACCGGCACGTGTGGGCTGAGCCCGGCCCGCCCCGCCTCCACTGGCTCTGGCCCACAGATCTGCTCCTCCAGGAAGCTTCCCTCCTTCCAAATCTCCCCTCTTTCCCCAGGTCCCACACAGGGGTTCCCAGCCTGGGGGCTCTGGGGGCGGCGATGTAGAACCCCGCTTTCTATAGAATTTCAAAAAAACCTCACTCCGGTTCCACGTTTTCCTTACCAAGGCCACATCATTTAACTAAAAAAATCATGTTATCAACCCAACATGATCACATCGGTGGGGCTATCGTTAATAAAAGTTGGAAAAACAAATTAGCTATGGCAATGTATCCGATTTATTTGATAGACACGACATTTCTAAAGCCGGACCTATGAAAGAGGAAAAGTGCCAACGGTCCTGTATGAGGAAAAGTGTGGGGAACCCCTGCCCGCGGGGACCGGCCCTGGCCAGCGTCCTTTCCCTGGGTCCTTACATGAGGTGGAGACTGCTGTTTCCCCAGGAGGTTTGCGCCCCCTGAGCCGCGAGGTCCGGCCGGTGTTGCCCCTCGGAGACCCGGCCCCCAGGAGGCAGTCCTGCCTCTCCCCTCGCAGCACTGATCCTGCTGCTGTGCCCTCGGCATCATGGGCCACTTCTCTGGCCAAGAGCAGCTTCCTGTCAGTGGCGGGGAGAAGCTGGCACAGCCTCTGGAATCCCCAGCCAGCAGCGGGACAGGTGGCGGTCACTCGCCTTCTGGTGGCCTGAACCTGCTCAGCGTCCCTCAGGGCCCCGGGCACGGGCAGGGTGTGTGTGTCCGCACCGGGCGGGGACGTGCAAAGTCACCCACTCCTAGCCGGGACACTTCTTCCCCCTCACAGCTTCCCAAAGGGGGCTGCTCTGTGCTCAAGGCATTCCCAGGGATGGACGGTGTCCAGAGACCAGTCCCGTGTGCCCTGGGCCACCCACGCCATACCTCAGCGGCACTCACAGGCCCCAGCCAGGCACCCTGCACTAAGGGGGGGCACCTCTGGGCCCCCGGCTGCACTGGGGTGGGGCTGAGGCCGAGTCCTTATTCCAAGAAGGTGCCTTGGACGGAGGGCTGGGTCGTGGGCCTCTGCATAGGAGCCTTAGGTTGGCCAAGTGTCCCTGCGCTCTTCTCCACAGAAATCTGATTGTCACCTCCTAGCTTACAGGCCTGAACGCACTAGCCTCTGCCCACATGCCTACCTTCTCCCCCTTGGGTCACCATGTGCATCCACACTGGCCTTCCAGGTCCTCTGTCTCCTCTGTCCTGTCCCAGGGCCTTTGCACGCACAGCTGTCTCTGCCTGCCACCCCCTCGCCCTTCCTTCTGAGCTGAGCTGACACCTGCTGTATGTCAGCTCCAGTGTCACGTTGTCAAGTGAGGCTTCTGGGTGCCCTCTGCACCCTGCACCTCTGTGTAGCAGTCAGCAGTTAGGATGACACGTCTATGGTAGGGTTATTGACCGAGTGTTTGCAAACTCCCTCGTGCCCCAAGCGCTATAAAAGTAGCCGTGCTCAGGTTGGCGCCCAGCCCTAGGGCTGTGCCTGGCACACAAACAGGAGGTCATTAAGTGTCTGCTGACAGGATAAATGAGTAAGCAAATGAGGAAGTGAGGCCCTCGGCCCAGTCTCTCTCCAGTCGGGCCCCTTCTCCGCCCTCGGCCCTCGTCCTGTCGTCCTCAGCTGAGGTCATCTCCAGACCAGTCCAACCTCCAGCCCGAACTCCACGTTCAACCCGAGCCACCTTTGTAACATGGAGCTCTCAACCAGCCCTCAGGATCGAGTCCCCCAGCAGCGTGGCCTCTGAGGACCCTGTGACCGACTGCACCCTGTCTGCCGTGCCGGCCTCATCTGTTGCCCTCCGCCTCGTCCCCTCCCCATCACACAGCTCACGGATGTGAGGAGCTACCAGTTTCTTCAGACGTGCGACACTCACTCGCAGCCCGTGCCTCACGGCTGCTGCTCTCTGCCTGGGCGTCCCTTCCACCTGCCTGGGCGCAGCCTCCTCCAGGAAGCCCGCCCACTTCCTGCTCTGTACCCCGGTGGCGCCTGTATGCTTCCCCAAATCTCAGCACCGGTCACCCGCTGTCTCCCCATCTCTGCTCCCCACTAGTCTCTGAGCATCTCGAGGGCCATCTTTCTTCTCTGAACCCCCAAACCCTAGTAAATAGCTGGTATTCAAGCAATGTTTGTTGAATGAATACATGACTTATATTACCCCTGTTCTTGATTAGCAGACATTTGGTCCTGTCCAAAACGTCCACGCTTAGAAAATGTCCCACCATTCGTTTCTGCTTCGGGCTTATTGATTACTACATAGAGAATGCTATCATGCTTTATGGGTCCTTTAGAATGATCCCTCTTGCCTCAGCTGATCCTGGCACACGGGCCCAGGTGGCTGGGTTGGCATGGACCTAACGTCCCCATGGACCGTTAGGACAGGACCAAGTATCGGGGATCTTTTGGCGTGGCAGGTTGGACAGGACCAAATGTCTCGCCAGGCTTGTGTCACGCCCTCAGCCACGTGCTCCTCTAGGAGAATGCTCCCCTTGTCCGGTTAGGACATCCTGCGCCTCCCCAGTCCCAGGCACTCACGGTGGGCACTGCTGCCGCTCCCCTCCTTGTCCTCAGAGGCCTCTGGTGGCCCGCGGGGGGTTCGCTGTCCAGCCAGCAGCTGCCCCATGGCCCAGTGCAGGGGCTGCCGCGTGAGGATGAGCAGGTGTGGGGTGGGATGGGCGCTCCCTGGCACACATTCCCCAGGACACACTGTTCCACAACCAGCGGTTAAAGCAACAAAGCCCGCTCGCGATGGCTGTGAAGTCACCCCTGCCACGTGCGCCGGCCCCGCGCCTGACACCCACCCCTCCCTGTGACCCACCACTGAAGGAGCCTGGTGCACAGGGAGTGTCTCATGTCTCAGCAGGTATAGTGTAGCCCTGCCCCTGGGGCATTCAGCGGCCAGGACTAGGGGACAAGGAGGAGCGAAGCGGGTGGGCCCCAAGGCAGAGAGGAGGCCTGGGGGCTGCTGGGGCCTACCTCACCCCGCGCGTCCATGTGCACCAGGGCTGGCTGAAACAGGGCAGGGGCCCCCAGCAGCAGGCGGGGGGCTGACGGTGCCCGCACCTCCCACAGAGGATAGCTGACCACGAGGACCTTGCTGAAGTTGAACTTGTACGTGAACCTCTTGCCTTTGGTCTTGTGCAGGATCTTCTTGTTGTAGTAATACCTGCAGGGCCCCGGGTGAGGACAGACAGTCTGCCCAGCGGCCAGACACCCAGCCCTGTCCGCTCCCCAGGCCCCAAGGCCAGCTGCGGGCGTCCCAGTGGTTCCCACACGTGGACGGGGCGGGAGTCAGACGGGGACCCGGAGCCACAGTCCTTCCCTTTGACTCTGCACCTCCTCTCACCTGAGGGCCCGGCTCAGCTTGTCGTAATTCATCTGTGGTTTGCACTTCCTGCGGCCCCAGAGGCGGGCCACCTCGTCTGGATCCTTGATGACAAACTCCCCGACCTCTCCCTGCTGCCAGGCGATGACATGGCGGAACTCTTCCTTCTGCAGCAGCTCCAGGATGAAGTGCCACAGCTGGGTCTGCCGGGAGCCCGGGGACGACTCGGCCTTGTAGGCCCAGTCCGGGAAGGCCAGGCCTGGGCAGACGGGGCAGCGTGAGTGCCTGAGGGTCGCCCTGCAGCGCGCGTGGAGCACCTGGCAGAGGCTCACCTGAGATCCACGAGTGGCTCGCGACGGTGGGGACCCCCCCGGCCAAGCAGCCACACTGCACGTTCCTCTCTGGGGGGCGGGGAGTGGGGCGCAAGGGCTGCATCCAGGCTTCCCGGGAAATGGCCACCACTTAGGAGGAAGGGAGAGGTGACGGGAAGGGTGGGGGGACGAGAGAAGGACAAGGAGTAAAGGGTTGGTCTGAGGCAGGAAGCTCCCCTCACCCTGGCGGGGCCCTGCCTCCTCTGGGCACCTCCCGCCTGGCCAGGCGCTGACCAGGGTGGGGACCTCCAAGGATGGAGAGGAGCAGGGTCCTGTGTCCCGCCCCCGCTGGGGATTTAGACAGAGAAGGAGGTCTGTTCTCAGGGCTTAACAGGATTGGCGTTTTCCCCAAGAGAGGACAAGAGGAAATGCAATTAATCGTTGGCTCTTTCTAAAGCCTGAGCAGGAGGAGGTGGCAGGTGCCAAGGACCCATCCCGTCATGGTACTGAGGACAGTCGCACATTTGAGAAGAGCAGGGGTTTCTGTGTCTTTTCACAGATGGGTCCCGTGTGCCTGGCACCTGGTAGGTGTTCAGGAAGTGGCTGGTGACGGGATCAGCGGACGGTCCTGGCTGTGGCAGTGGTGTCGCTGTGTGTTTCATACCTGTCTTCTCCCTCAGTGTCAGTGCTGTGAGCTCAGGACGCCAGGCGTGTCGTTCCCTGTTGGCTCCCCAGGCGCAGTCCAGCCAGGGCCGTATACTCGCAGATGCTCTGCATGCACCTGCTGAACAAACGACCATGGGCAAGGCAGAAGGAGTCTCGTGCGTTCCCAATTTGGCGGTGGGGAGAGGGGGAGAGTTGGCGGCGAGGTGGGGGAAGACGGGGGCATGAGCCCCAAATGTCTGAGCCCCAAAGCCTTTGGCTGGATCCAAGGTGGTGTGACAGGCCAGTGTCCTCTGTCACGAGTGGGAGACGAGTCGATAGGCAGGAGGACTGAGGGCGGATGGGAGAGGCGGCCACACGGACGGCAGGACACAGGCCTGCCGCTGGGCTGGCCCAGAGGAGTTACCAGATGTTAGGACCGTGTATGAACAGGGGGCGGGTTCAGGGGCCTGGGTCCCCATGTCTGACACAGTGGGCACGAGGCAAGAACGGTTCCCAAGGAGAACTTGTCAGGGGCTCGTCTGGAGGAGCCGCCTCACTTTCCAGACGAGCTCAGAGAGGGAAGAGGCTGGATGCACGGTGCCGCCGAGCCCCCGTCTGACCCGTGCACGTTCTCACTCACCGCGTCGCCTCGAGGCTTCGAAACCGTCTGTAGTGCTTCTCAAACTCTGACGTGCACAAGAGTCACCGAGGGCCCTGGAGCCTGAGACTGCGTTTCTGACAGGCGTCCAGGCGACACCGCCACTGCTGGTGGGCTGTACTTTGAGGAGCAGAGCTCCTGGGATACAGTGAAGAGGAGCTGAGGGTGTTAGCAAGTCGCTGAATCCAGGTCAGGCCTCCCCACCCTCCCGAACCCACACCAAGAGGCCCTGGGTCATTGCTGTCTCCTCCTCAGGGAACCACGGGCTCCAGGGGGTCGGCTGGCAGACTAGCAGCTCATGGTGGGGCAGCAGGTGCTTCTGGGGTCCCCAGTGTGGTCTGAGCCGAGAGCATCTCTGGACATGAAGGTGGACAGGGAGCTGATGAGGTCACCACTACTGTGACCTGGTGGGAGGCTTCCCACCGGTCCCTCTGTCTCTAAACGGACAGCTGACATTCTGGAATTCTCTTGTTGCCTTCCTTTCCTCCCTCAAAGCAGATGTCCCAGTCCTGTCCCACCCTCCTTCCTGCCCTGTCCCCTGGGGAGTTCCCCTTTGTCTAACCTCTCCCGCCTCACCTGAGAAAACAGGCTGGGAGGTGGGGTCGCAGAGGGAATTCCAAGAGCAGACTCTCCTTGGAGGCTGATCAAGTCCGTGGGCCCCGCCTGCTGCAGCTAGTGTTTCCTGATCTGGAGGTTTGTGCCCTCAGCGTAGAGCTAGGATCTGGCAAGAAGAGAATGAGAAGCCACCTGCGAGCTAACACTCAGAGCCCTGCCTGTGCCAGAGGACCTTGCACGCGTATCACCCAGGATGGAGTGACTTCTCTAAGGTCAGACAGCTCCTAAGTGACAGAGAGGCAAGCGAGGCCTTAAGTCAAGGCTTAGACTATTCACCTACCTAGGCAGCCTACCCACACTCTGTCTCCTGACCCAAGAGAAAACCCCAAAGCACAGAACCAAAGTGGGACAAGCCGGGCTTTCGAGCACCGCAGCCCTGGCCTGGCCCCTTC